TTTTTTTTTTTCTTCTTTCTCACAATTTGCTGTCTCAACTATTTTATGGTCTGGGGGGAGAAACAACTGACTTGGCAGCTGTGTGTGACGCAAAATTAATAACCAAGACAGAATTCCAGTGTGGTGCAAGTGTGAAACTTAAACTTAATTAATCACGTGCGGCGTTTTTACTTTGACACTGACATCCTAATTCAGGGGACTTTGTTTCTGCGTTCACGTGCAGACTCCTTTGCCTTTGGCAACAGTTTGTCTTCTCGTCAGAGTCGAATCAATCAAACCGTTGTGACATGGAGCTGGAGGACAGTGATTCACTGAGATTATCTGCTGGAGGATTATGTTTTCACATACTGCACTGTGCTGTAGATGCTGAAAGGTCACTTCTTAAACCCAGCTGTTGGAAACAAATGTGAAATTGTATTTCTCTTAATGCTTACTTTACCTGTGTTTCACTTTTTATAGTGGAATTTTAACTAAAGAGTATTTAAAGATGTATATGTTATAATATCACTGTAACATGGTGATATTACATTTTTAATATTACACAACACACAGTGTAATATTTACTTTAATGTATCTGGGTTTTAAGCATAGATGGGCCCAGTAAAATGACATTGTGGACTGGATTTGGCCCACAGGCCGTGAGTTTGACACACATGTTTTCTAGGCCATTTTCCAGATACTTACTTGCACTGTCTTTCCTGTACTAATGTCTAGGCCATTTTCCAGATACTTACTTGAACTGTCTTTCCTGTACTAACGACCCAGGTATATAACTTTTTTTGTTATGGATTAAAAGTTTCAGAAAAGGACAGATATTGTGCTGTGCTGCACAGACAGCAGCTGTTCTGCCGTATTATAGGCCATTCTCTGACGTCCATTTTGATGTTCATGCTCACAGAGCTCTTTAAATAGTTAAGACACTAGAAATAGGCCGTGATCACAGTTTTAAATGGAGGAAGTGAGAGAGCAGCTGTGGAGGGATTGAACCCACTGACTCTGCACAGATATCATGAGTCGGCCTTAATTTGTCATGACTACATCACGTCTGCTGAGCTGGACACACGCTGAGCTGGTCATTTGTGTTTCCTCTCATTTCCTCCTGTAAAATGTCATCTCTGGATTCTCTCGGTCGATGCTGCTGAGAGGAAACAGGAGTTGACAGGTTCAGGGACACGCCCTAATTTGGGTATCAGAAACGGTTCACCTTTGCTCTAATTAAATGAAGGAGTTGTGTCTATGAGAGGTTGATGTGTTCAGACAAGGTATTAACAAGCTGCCCTCCTGTGGTGACTGACGGAAGAGAACAACGAGTGGGAGGCCCGAGTTATTTTTACATCTGCAGCCCAAACCTTCTCCCCAAAATCCCTCATTGATTTTGATTTTTTTTTTTTAATTTCCATTTCCATTCCCTCTATAAACTATATTAGTCCAAACCCTCACCCTGTATTTCTGGTCTTTTTTTTGTCCCACGCTCTCTGCTGTCTTTCACTTCCTGAACAACATGTTCTTTTATTGTCACAAATCAATGCTTGTGCGTCGTCGTCATCGTGACTCTCTGTTCTGCCTCTCTGAGGCGACAACCACTATTTTGTAGCCACAGGCGGTGCATTTATTTAAAGATGCAAAACTTAGCAAAAGCTCTTTGAATAAAACTCCAGGGCGATGTGCTGCTGTGTGTTTGTGTGTGTGTCTGTTACATTTTTTTTGTGTTGTTTTTTTACTAATATTAAGTATTAGTAAATGTTTTATGCTATAAAATAATTGAACACAGAAGATAGTCTTGGGCAAAAGTGATCCTGTTTGGTTCGGTGCTTTCTAAGAACACCAGCAAAGAACGGCCAAGTTCCATCACTCAACGTGAGCTACGGCTGTCACTGCTTGGCCGGGGCAGCTATGGCTCAGTGGATCGTACTGTTGTCTCACAACCTCAGAGCTGTTCAATCAATTATAGTTTACATTTCACACCCAGTAGAACCAGCTCTTGCCATGAGCTGCATAGGCAAATACTTAGGGCGCCATCTGCTGGAGAGGGGAAAAAAACAAGTTATAACTCACTGTTGAACCTAAAATCTTTGCCCGCAGGAATCATATTTGAATATGTTTTATGCATTGTTTTACCATCATTTCTCAAAAATGAATAGTCTTTTCCTGTGTTAATTAAATATATTGGCAAAACACCATAGTGTGCCATATTGTGGATTGATTTGTTTTCTTCCTCCTTTCTGTCTCCACAGCTCCCCAACATGTTTGGAGACCTGAGGTCCACCTTCATCGCCTTGATGATTGGATCCTACGCCTCCTCTGCTGTCACCTTTCCTGGCATTAAGGTTAGCTTCTCGTCCACATCCGATCAATGATTTACCTTTAACAGCAAATCCTCTTTATCATCCAAAAAAAAAATGTCATTATGATTGACAATGATAATGATAACGATGTTGACCTGGTTTTCTGTCATCCACCTGTAGGTGATCTATGACCTGGGTGCCACCTTCATCTCTATTCTGTTAGTGTGGGCTGGCTGTGCCTGCCTCGTCTTCTTCAACTGCTTCGTCAACTGGCCTCTGGAGCCCTTCCCCGGCCCTGAGGACATGGATTTCACGTAAGATAAATGAAAACATGCTCTGGTTTTCTGTAGCCTCTGGCTAACGTTGTTAAAGACCTCAGTCGTGCAGTGAGCTACGCTTAGATTACAGCTGAATTCAGACAGATGTGCTTGTTGACTGAGGCAGACCTGCTTTATATTCACTTCCAATCTCTCGTTCATTGGAACTAAATCTCAACAGGAATCTAGCCTCCGTGTCTCCAACACAACACGGTCGGATTTTATTACTTTTCTATTGAATAATTAGTATAATTTTCTTGTCTGTTACAATACATTACTGAAAATAGCAGTCAATGTTAAATACAGCCCCCCAACCATAAGCTTATATAATAGCCTTTTAGTAGAGTTGTCTAGATCAGGAGTGTCAAAGTCATTTTCACCGGGGGGGGGGGAGAAACTCAGCTACATGGAGTTTATTAAGCTCCCGCGGGCCACTAAAGATGACTTGTCGGGCCGTATTTGGCCCCCGGGCCTTGAGTTTGACACATCATCTGGAACATGCCCCTAGAGACCTTTGTTTTGAAGTCTAAAATGAGTCTTTCTTTTGTCTTCCATTTACCTCAGTAATGGAGCAGAGCCTGAGGGAGGTTTAAACACAGGAAGGACCATAAGTCCACACGATCATGTGGCTTTCCTCAGACTCACTGGGATGTTTTCTTTTCACCTGCTCCTTCCTTTTTACCCCCTCTCTGCTGCAGCTTCTTTTTTTTTTTCATTTTTCTGTATTTATGCTATTGCTTTACTTTTTTACTTTTTTCTTCTAATCTTCTACTGAAATGTCCTCAGGGTGAAGATCAAGTTCAGCTGGCTGGGCTTTGACCACAAGATCACGGGCAAGCAGTTTTATCGTCAGGTCACCACTGTGGGGCGCCGTCTCAGTGTTGGCAACTCCATCAAGCAGCCTCAGCAGCCCACCAAAGACCTGGCCACTCAGGAGGCCAACAAGCTGTGTCTGTCCACCACTGACCTGGAAGTGAAGAGCAAGAACCAGGTGGAGAGTAAGTCTGAGGTTCTCAGAATGAACCAACACAGAATCAGTCAGTATGATCCCTGATCACCGCAGTATTTATTTTTTTAAATACCTCAAATCCTCTGTCTGTCACTCGTTCCACACCCAACCACCCACTCATGCTCAGGGTGTTACAGTTACTGTCTGTCTGTGTTGCACTGCTTATGTCTGTTGTGGCAGGAGGAGACTCTGGTTTTCATTCTGTGAAAAATAGAACCTAGAACCTGATGTAATTAATCAGGATTAAGTACAAACTACTGGGTTCTGGGTCTCAGAACAGTTCTGCAGTCAACACTGCTAAATATGCTTTTGTGTGTACAGTTTATCATTGTTATGGTCTGTAAAGAGGTCCATCGCCTCTAATTGACCCATCCTGACCTACATTTGGACACAATGCTGTCCCATGTTGAACCCCCTCTTACTTCTGTCCTATATCCCGTGCCAACTAAGCCTCTGTTATCCAGACACTTCCGGGCCTCCTGAGGTCTCACAGCAGGGTCGTGAACTCACGGCTCTGAGGTTCATTTGAGTACCAAACCAACCATGGAACTCATTTGGTCATAATTTTCAAAACATATGCATGGCTGGTATGTGGCACGCTGGCAGGGAGCCTGTGTGTGTGTGTGTGCGTGTGTGTGTATCTTTAAGTAAGTAATTGTGAGGTCAGGTTCTGGAGGTACACTGCAGTTTCATGTTTTTAATGAAAGCTCTCAGATATCAACATTTAAATAGAAGTAGACCTTGAGATCCGTCTTGAATATGAAATGTTTTATTACTGCATTGTATGAGGTTCGTACACATACAGTACTTAGAGCTCAGTGCACTGATAAAAGTTTTAAATAAAAGGGAATGCGTTTTGATCTAGCTAATTTAATTTTCAGCCAATCAAATCCAAGCGTGGTTACATTTTTGGTACCTTATTAAAACACTAGTTACTTTGATCCAGCAATAAATTGTTTCAGGTTTTTTTAAAGAAACATAATATAAAATAATGGCATATACTATATATATATAAAATTTGGATCAGACTTTCTCAATGTTGATTAGCATTTTTTAACATAATTCCACTTTTTTTCCACTGAAAAAAAAAGGCTTTGTGGCCGTGAGCCCGTCATCATGGTTACTGTGACATCTTCTGGTTCTAATAGCAGTAACGCTATGTGTGCTTAGAACTCCTAATGCCTCACGAGTACGTCCTCTTCACTGAGCAATCGCCCTCATTTAGCCTGGCATGGATACCTGTTGTTCCGGGTAATAAAGCCATCTGCTGCGTGAGTGCAGCTGCCATTAATTGGTTTGTCCAGTTCTTGGCCATATGGACAGTTGTGTCCATTTTCCATTTATATTCACA